TACAGCTTGCTGCAGCATGCATACTGTAGGTTCACCACCACTGGTCTAGACAGAAAAAGATCCAGAAATACACAACCTGGCGATTAATTCCATTAGAACCATAAGAGCATGATGGGGCTGTGAGATGGGAGGCTCAAAGGAGAGCTCCAGATCAAGCTGGGGCAGGGTTGGCACAGGCTAGGAGGCCTTTCTGGGATAGGTGATACCCAAGAAGACTCAGGTAAAGCAAGAAAGTATTTGTGACAGGAGGGCCACCAAGTACAAAGGTCTTAGAGCAAAAGAAACAGAGCATACTTGGGGAACAGAAGCCAGTCCAGTACAGCTAGAGAGTGGAACAAGGTGAGCAGGGAACTTGTATCTTGGGGCAGGCTCACGGACTTCATTGTCCCTTGGCCTCATGGGCAGTGGTTCCTAAACCAGCAACAGTCCCATACCTGCCAAACCCTTTCACTGGGGAACCACAGAAGTTGGACTGTGTTTTTTGATTTTGGGGTTTTGTTTTCTTTGCTGGAGATTGAACTAAGGGCCTTTACACAGAGCTATATCCCTAGCCCTTTTTATTTTTGAGATGGGGTCTTGCTAAGTTGCCCAGGAGGGACTCACACTTGCAGTCCTCCTGCTGTAGCCTCCCAAACTACTGGGATTACAGGCATATGCCACCACACTCAGCACCAGCTGGTTTCTTAGGAGGACAATGTCTAGAAGAGTGCACTGAAGAAGGGAGAGAGTCTCCAATTGCGCTTCTCCTATGTCTCCTAAAACCAACAGGTTCTGTTTGGATTCTGCAAAGCAAACTCGTCAGAAAGTTGCTGTGAACTGGACCAACTTCAGCCTCAAGAAAACTACTCCCAGCACTGCTCAGTAAGGTAGAGACCCCAGGTGTTACCTGAACCTACCCCATGTGCAACAAGATCATTCTCTGCTCTCAATCAAGGGAATTGGACTTCGGTCTTGGCAGTCCTGTTGCCTTACCTCTACAGCACCTGCGCAGCAAACTATAGTGTCTGAAGGTCTAAGCCTCATCTCTTTTCCTGAGCCACTCACCCTAGGTCTCTGTCCTTCAGCCACTCCTCTCTGCCAGGCCTTCCTGAACCTTGCTGCCCATGTTCCTGAAAGGCCCTTCCTGGGCTGCCATCTCTGGGCTATCAGCATGAGGGTTCAACCTCTCATCCCTGTGGGACTGCCCCCAGCCCTGATCATGCTGGGGCTTGCATACCACTTGCTTAGCCTGGTTCCTACATGCAAAGTGCCTTCCAGTTGAAACAAAGTGAGAGGGGCCAGCCCCAAGGAAGCAGTGAGGGGGCAGATGAGAATACGACAAGGCTTTGTAGGTCATTTAAACACAAAGGAGCTGGGAATGGTGACACAAGCCTATAGTCCTTGCACTTGAGAGGCTGAGTTAGGAGGATTGCCATGATTTTGAGGCCAGCCTGGACTACATAGTGATTTCAAGGCCATCCTGAAGTACATAGTGAGATACTGTCTTAAAACAATAACAAAAGCCATGAATGATTTGGTGAGGGCTCTTCCCAAACAGAACAAATTCCCTAACGAAATTGGTAGCCACACTGCTTCTAGAAAGAAAAGACCTGCCCCTAGAGGGCTCTGGCCTCTGCATTGGTCCTTTTGTCTGAAATATTAACACATTTGATGATGTTCTTGGACTAAGTACAGAAAACTGGAGAAGGCATTAGACTGAGAACCTTAGTGCAGAAGAGAAGAGCACATAGCAGATGACCTTGGTGCTGAGTTCAGGGCTTTGTGACTACTATTCCATGTCTCCATCCTGTCTTGTGTCCCTGGTATGAGGCCTTTTCTGGCTAGCAACTCCATAGCTTCCCACAGGCAATAGGAGGCTGGAGCAGTTGGGCTGGCCTTAGGAACCCCTGAGGTCTTCACTTATCTCCACTCTCCTATTTCCAGTGCCAGGGCACCTCTCTGCACTAAAGCAGTGAGTTTCTACACCCTCAGCTCTCCAGAGGCAGCACAAAAAGCCTGAAGCTAGGGCAGCCTTTGAGGCTGGGGCTCCCAGTGGCATGGTATCCGTGTGCTATCTCAAATCAGATGATCTTGCGACTCCCTGTCAGCCCTCTGCTGTAAGGGAGCTGGGCTTCCTGATCATTTGCCAGACTAAGGGGTCCACACCCCAGGAATCTTTTCCAGGGCCAAGCTGCCATCCTTCCTCTCTTCTCTACCTCCATAGGAACCAGGCACTTTATGTTGTTCCTACTAAAAGAAAAAGGGTCACATCTCCACCAGTCCAATTCCACTTGCCACCCAGGAAACCAATCCAGCCATCCTCTCACCTTGCCTGGTCTGTTTTCTGAGACAACACACACACATACCCATAACTGTTCTCCTCACCATCCTCTAGGCAGGACTGAGAGCCCCCATGTGTAAGAAAGCAGTCCTGGCACAGACTGAGGACCCAGCCCAGGCTGTGTCCCTGGAGTCTGAATGCAGAGGTGGCCTCCTCCAGTACTTGCTAGTGGGAGAACAGATGCCAGCAGCCACTCAGCCCTGGCCTGGAAGGATGTGCTACAGCAAGGGTCCTTCGCATCTAAAGGATTGTCTTACATGATGCCAGAACCCCAGGACCGGGGCTTTCTCCCCCAATAGGGCCTTAACCTTCTTCCTCTGCTAGAAGTGATCCAGGAAATCTCTTCAGCATTTTTAGCCCAAGGAACAAAAATATGAGCCAGCTGTTTCTGCTTCCATAGAAACCCAGAGTTGGTATGGGGAAGATGGAGCACAAGCCATTGCTCACTGTGATCCTATTCTTCTGTTATTTCTCAACCTTCTTTAGGGCAAGTTTCTTCAGGGCATCCTGAGGCCCCAACTGCCAGCTGATGGTCTACAGTTTCTCCCTCCATGTGCCCTGCCCACCTGCCCTGACCCTTGCTGCTCCTTCCATCCTGGACCAACCAAAAGCTGAATGGATGCTACGCTGTGCAGGGGTCCCTCAGGATCTCTGCTGAGCTGCTTCCTGGTGCTATGCAGCCTCTATACTCAGAGACTGGGCTGGCCTATGGGCCAGGGGCTGATGGTACTGCTGGCCCAACATTGCTCTCTTTGTGCTCAGTTTTATTGTTTTTATTTTATTTTTTTCAATTCTTTACTTTTGATACTGTGAAGATCTTTCATGCTGAAAGATAAAGCAACATTTGGACACAGAGTTGGTGTGATTCTGATTTGCTGGTCTGGACAGGGAATGGGGTGAGGGTTGTGCTCAGAAGCGTTGGAGGGGCCAGGGATTTAGCTCAGTGGTGCTGCCAGCTGCCTCACAAACACAGTGTCCTGAGTTTGGTCCCTGGAACCAGAAGAAGAAGAAGCAGCATTGGATCCAACTTACTAGTCACTAACCTTGTGAAGCAGATACTGTGTTTCATCAACTTGGCATAGTTTTCTATTTCGTTTTCAGGATTCCTCACAACAATCTTATGTGGGATGGTTAGCCCATTTTGTAGATTAGGAAACTAAGGCTAAAACAGGAAAGTGACTCCACTGAACTTCATCTGACCAAGTAGGGCTGAGCTCAGGCCTGTATTTCTGGTATCTGTGTCATTTGCTTCTGTTGGGAGCTGGAGTCTGAAGCAGCTCTTTCACAACACTGTATTTGTTTCCTTTTGTGCAATACGGGTAAACTGCAACAGGATGGATGTGAGCAGAGGTCTGAGAAAGATTCTGAGCCCCGTGTGAACAGTCACCTGAAGCTTGGCTGATTGAGGCTCTTTACACTGACTTAAAGCAATCGGTTGAGGGTGCACTAAGTTTTTATAAAGTAGGTCTGATTTCCAGTGGGGATGGGACATGGAGCCTAAGGATTTGAGAGTTAAGACAACAATGAAACAGTATAATGTCAAGCAAACTCTCCATTGGAGCTAGTTTGTGAATTCAGTTTTTTGGGGTTTGGGGGGGCCATGGTTTGGTTTTTAGTGAGACAGGGTCTCACTATGTAGTTGAGACTGACTAGAACTCACAATGTAGCCCAGGCTGGTCTCAAACTGAAAGCCTGACTCAGCCTCTCGAGTGCTGGGATGACGGGCGTGCACCACCACACCCGGCTGAATTCAGATTTTAATAGAAGGGGTTTGCTAAGAATGCCTCACATGTAGTTATATCCAAACTGCCTCCCCTCAAAGTAGTTTTCTGTACTAAAGCCAACTCGAGCCTATTTGGGAATTGTTGTATCTAGAGGGTCATTCTGCAGTCAGAGAGCCTTATATAGGACATTAAGAGCAGAAACAGAACCATCCTTGCTTTTTTGCCCACCCAGGTTGAGCCCAGCCATATGCGAGTCTGCTTCCTCTTCTAAAAAAGAATACAGAACATTGACCAAGGCTCAAAATTTCTAATTCCTGGCCTGTTCCAATCCCCAAGGAAGTGTGACTACACTTCCCTACAAACCCATTATCAGCTGTGTTTGTCTCTCCACTTAACACCAGGTTTCTACAGTCCAGCTGAGTTAGTACAGCTATCAAATTCTGCACATACCAAAGGTGCAGGTCTAATCAAGCAGTCCATTTACCAACAGAAGGATTCCTTTATTTCTGAGTCAAGTTCTCACTGTGTAGTCCAGGCTGGTCTCAAACTCACTGTGTGGTGAAAGCTGGCCCCAAACACACAACAATCCTGTCAGCCTCCCAAGTGATGGGATTATAGTGTGCACCATCAGTAGTAGCCCTGTTAAGCATGAGAATAAACCAGGTGTGGTGGCGTAGGTCTGTAATCACAGTACTAGAGGCTGATAAGAGGACCGCCTGGAGTTCAAGGCCAACCTGAACTACGAGACCCTATCTCAAGAAAACAAACATACAAATGAAGAAAATAACACTGTCATTCCTCTTCAGAAGCTCTCAATGAAGTTAGATTTACATATTCTGTCACTGCCCTGCATGCTGTGGGCTCAGCCTCTCTTCGGCTTTACCTCTAGCTACACCAACCCACACCACCCATTCCGCTTTGTTCCTAGTAATGTGTATACTTGCACATCGACAGACCTTTATTGCTGCTGCAACCGCAGAAAGCTTCTCTTCTCCAATCCGTTCGCAGAGATCCCACACTTTGCTGGAAGCTCAGAACCAAAGTCTAAGCCGCGTCTGGTTTCCCAGGCAATCACGCTGAGCTCCACTGCATTTACAATAATCGTTCATTTATATGCAGAGCCTCCATTTAAAAACTGTCATCGGTATTTTATTTAGCCCTCACCACCGTGACGACAGATGTGTCCCACACAAATGAGACCGGTCAGAATGGTAGTAGATGTTGAGTCACTCATTCTGCAAGCCCCACCCTCACCTCCAACGCTGCGCCCGGGAACAGGGACCGAAACATTGCAGGAATCTTGGTTTGCCGGATCTGGGATGATCTCCCAGCCACAAGAGGACGTAGTGTGCTCCAGCTCTGGGTATCTAGCAGGTAGGTAATCTGTCCTATCCTCTCATAAGCAGCGGTCTCCAAGGAGTGTTCTAGTGACTGCCGGCTAGAGCCTTTTGCGCATGCTTCAAATCCAGCATCCCACAATGCAGTACGGGCCACTTTCGCCTTCTTCAGAAACAGCCTCGAAGGCGCAAGCTCAACTCAAGAAGTTTGTCCCTCTGCGCGATCCGTCGCGCCGATGTCGTTGCTAAACTCCGACACCCATTTGTTCGCATCTGATTGGATTTCACTCAAAGATGGGGCGTGGTTCGGTTGTGGAGTCCTTGCGTACGGCAAAGGATGGAGGAGCCGGAACCCGAAAGAAAGGTGGGAGAAAGGTTGGGGCCTACGCGGGTGAGGAGCCGGAAAGAAGGCAGCGGGGTCGGTGCCTGATTCTTGTATATCTGCAGCGAGTTCGCATCGACGAGACTACTGCTGCAGGAAGCCGCTCCGAGGCTGAAGATGAGGACGACGAAGAATACGTACCCTACGTGCCGTTGCGACAGCGCCGGCAACTACTGGTGAGGAGCCCAGATTGCCCGACGAGTTCGGGGGCGTGATCACTGGGGCTTAATTGGATGGGAGGTGACTCGGGCCTTCAGGGAGAGGGGCACGATCTGAGAAGTGTCAATGCAAGGGAACGTGTCCTGAAGGCAAATGAATGACTGACGACCTAATCTGAGGGCTGAAGCACGGGACCCTCGCCCAAAGCCAAGATTATCAGCAGGGACCCGATGCCCGCTCTTCTGTTGGGCTTTACTCTGAGAGGTACTGTGGGAACTCAGCTCCAGAAGCTGCTGCAGCGAAGACGAAAAGGAGCTGCGGAAGAGGAACAGCAGGACTGCGGCAGCGAACCCCGGGGAGATGAGGACGACATCCCGCTGGGCCCTCAGTCCAATGTCAGCCTCCTGGATCAACACCAGCACCTCAAAGAGAAGGCTGAAGGTGAGTTGGGAAGTACTGCTAGAGTGGGAAGGGAGAAGCCAAGCCTATTATCTATGTTGGTGTCTACCTGTCTCTGGTGTCTGTCTTCTTTTTTCAGCCCGCAAAGAGTCTGCAAAGGAGAAACAGTTGAAAGAAGAAGAGAAGATTCTGGAGAGTGTGGCTGAGGGCCGAGGTATTGTTGCAGCCAGGGCAATGAGGAGGTGAATTAAACTGCCTCCCTGTCACCCCAGGCATGTTATATATCGAGGGATCTGGTCTCTGGGAAGCAGAAGCCAGCCCTAAGCTATGTCTGCCTCCTCAGCCTTGATGTCAGTGAAGGAGATGGCCAAGGGCATCACATATGATGACCCAATCAAAACCAGGTATGCCGTCTTCGTCTGGGTAGTCACCTTTACTCAAGATGACTTATACCTGAGGTTAGCAGTGCCCAGGGCTTCTCTTGACCCCTACCGTTCACCCACAGTTGGACTCCACCCCGTTATGTCCTGAGCATGTCTGAAGAGCGGCACGAGCGCGTGCGGAAGAAGTACCACATCTTGGTGGAAGGGGATGGCATCCCGCCACCCATCAAGAGCTTCAAGGAAATGAAGTTTCCTGCAGGTACATGGAATAGGGAGAGATGCCACACTTTTATAATCAAGCCTTTGTAGTATTCTAGGTCTCATTTAGCTCAGCAGCATGACCATTGTTGGTCCACCCAATGAGGATGCCAGGATTTGAGATGGAGTTTCTTTAGGCATACTTTTCAGTTGCCCTAGTCATATATGTTCACTGTCCTGTGCTATAACAGAGTTTCACTGGCAAATTATATTGGGTTTAGACAGACCTGGATGTGACTCCCAGCCTCACCAAGCCCAGGGGCATTATACAAGTTTACCTTTCTTTCCATCCTTCTCTGTTCCCAAGCCTTCATTTTATCACTTACAACTTGTGAGGAAGTGCTAATTTCATAGGTGGTAGGCCTTTGATAAAGCACCTCTTGTTTTCCACAGCCATCCTTCGAGGTCTGAAGAAGAAAGGCATCCTCCACCCGACACCCATCCAGATCCAGGGCATCCCCACCATGTGAGGATGGACTGAGACCTTGGGTCCCTGGGAATGGTGGTGACAGGGACAAGAAAAAATCAGGTATCTGACTAGAGAAGTACTTGCTGTTTTATGCTGGATCTCAGGCTGTCCTCTCCCAACAGTCTCTCTGGCCGGGACATGATTGGTATCGCCTTCACCGGGTCAGGCAAGACACTTGTGTTCACACTCCCTGTCATCATGTTCTGCCTGGAACAAGAGAAGCGGTTGCCTTTCTCTAAGCGGGAGGGCCCCTATGGCCTCATCATCTGCCCCTCAGTAAGATAGCCTATCTTAGAGGGCAGGGGAGAGACTGGGGCTGCCTTCTGGTGCCAGCCTTTTCCCTGTTCTACAGCGGGAGCTGGCCCGACAGACCCATGGCATCCTGGAATATTACTGCCGCCTGCTGCAGGAAGACAGTTCACCCCTCCTGCGCTGTGCTCTCTGTATTGGGGGCATGTCGGTCAAAGAGCAGATGGAGACCATCCGACAGTGCGTACAGGCAACCCTGCCCCATGGACCTCCCAACTCCTATAGAGAAGCTAAAGGTTCCTGTAGTCACTCCCTGGACTCTAACCGTGGCCTCCTGTGGACCCAGCCCACAAGGGCCCCAAAGAATAATGGGGAGGTGGGTTGGGGTGAGATAGAGGGATATAGTCAGATACTGTGGGAACACAGCAGAGAGAATGGCCCATCCTCTTGAGACATCTGAGAGGAAAGAAGTCAGAGATAGCTTTACAGAGAAGGTAACATTGGAATTTTGAAGAGGGGCAGACGTGGACATGAGCTAGATCCCAAAGGAATCCATGTCCTGTCCATTCCACACTGTGCAGCCCTACAGCTATCACAGATGCCCTGGAGATGTCTCGGGATCACAGAAGCATTCGCAGTCTCAGGAAAGGTGCAGGCCCAAAAAAGATGAAGTCATTGTGCGAAAAAAGCCCACCAAGGGCTACAAAAAGACTTTAGAACCAGGCACCGGTTGTATACCTTTAATCACAGCACTTGGGAAGCCAAGGCAGGAATATTTTCAGTTTGAGGCTAGCGTGAAGTACATAGCAAGATCTTTACTCCAAAAAAAAGAAGAGAGGAGTGCAGGCTGTGGGAGCCCATAGTGAAGCCTGGGGCGAGAGGAGTAAACGGGAGGTGATGGAATGTGTGTCAGGCCAAGTGCTGTCCAGAAGGCTGCATCCCCTTCTTCCAGGGTATAAATGTATATTAGGGCAGGATAAGAGGGTGACGAGAGGACAGGGGAGCAGAGACAGGAAGAAGGAAGAACAGCAGAACAGAGGCAGGGTATGGCCTCAGTGGGTGATGGGCAGGTGGTTCCAGGGTCTTTCTTTGATCCTCAGTGGTGTGCACATGATGGTGGCCACCCCTGGGCGCCTCATGGATTTGCTACAAAAGAAGATGGTCAGCCTAGACATCTGTCGCTACCTGGCCTTGGATGAGGCTGACCGCATGATCGACATGGGCTTTGAGGGTGACATCCGTACCATCTTCTCCTACTTCAAGGTGCCTATCCTCTGTACTACCCCCTTCCCCGTGTACACTACATCCATCATGGAGGACCCCGAGCCTCTGTGCTGTCTCACCCTCTGCTCCTACTTCTGGGGAGCTGTGACCCAGCTGCTCAGTAGTCCCAGACCCATCTCCTCTTACCTTTGCCCCAGTCCCACCTAGCCCTGTGTGCCTCGGGTCCCAGCTCCTATCCTTCCTCAGGGTCAGCGGCAGACTCTACTCTTCAGCGCCACTATGCCAAAGAAGATCCAGAACTTTGCCAAGAGTGCCCTAGTAAAGCCTGTCACTATCAATGTGGGGCGTGCTGGGGCTGCCAGCCTGGACGTCATACAGGTAAGTCAGCACTCTCGCCTCTCGGGCTCTCTTGAAGCTGATTGGAACACGGGCTTCACCTTGTGGGCCCTGGGGTTTTATTGAAATCTTCTGGCTTTTAGCCCGAGCCATTCTTCACGTTAGACATTAGCCCTTGGTGACAAGAGTCTCCTCGTCAATTTCTGGCCAGATTAGAGGCTCAGCCTTTTTAACAGGGCCATAGCTTGTGAACCTAACCCTGGGATCATTTGACCTGGCCCCTTTGGCAGGAGGTGGAGTATGTGAAGGAGGAAGCTAAGATGGTGTACCTGCTTGAGTGCCTACAGAAGACACCTCCACCTGTGAGTGCAGCCAGTCCAGCCTGGGGCTGTAGTCCCCAGGACAGAGGAGAGGGTGGTAGGGACAATGTATTGCATGAAAGTCAAGTGATGCCCTGTGACTGGAATCAGCTTTCCTGGACAGGTGCTCATCTTTGCGGAGAAGAAGGCAGATGTAGATGCCATCCACGAGTACCTGCTGCTCAAGGGAGTTGAGGCTGTGGCCATCCATGGGGGCAAAGGTGAAGGCAGTGCATGCATTGACATGGACCCTTCTGCCATGGCAGTCCCTCACCTCATCCCTCTTCTTGCCTGGCCAGCCTGCCTCTACTCTAAATTCCTGCTATAGCTGTAAGACCTCCTACCTGACCCTATCTAGACCAGGAGGAACGGACCAAGGCCATTGAAGCATTTCGGGAGGGCAAGAAAGATGTCCTAGTGGCCACAGATGTTGCCTCCAAGGGCCTGGACTTCCCTGCCATCCAGCACGTCATCAATTATGACATGCCTGAGGAAATTGAGAATTACGGTAGGGAGACTGGGAGACAAAAGGTGGCTAGAAAGGAGAGGGGCCAGGCTCAGTACCCAAACCCTGGGCAGTGGGCCAGAGGCTCTATCCTCTCTGCAGTGCACCGGATTGGCCGTACTGGGCGCTCAGGAAACACTGGCATTGCCACTACCTTCATCAACAAGGCTTGTGGTGAGTCTTTCATCAGAACCACCTCAACTGTCCCCCAGGTCTTTTACCTATTACCACTGAGGTTTGGACCATAGGGCCCAGAGTGGGGTCTGACGGTTACTTATTACCCCTCCCACCTTCCCCTTCCAGACGAGTCAGTGCTGATGGACCTCAAGGCCCTACTTTTAGAGGCAAAACAGAAGGTACCACCAGTGCTGCAAGTCCTGCACTGCGGGGATGAGTCCATGCTGGATATCGGAGGTAAGCGCCAAGCAAGAGGCTCAAGTCCTCCCTGGTGGTAGGGTCAGGTTGGGGGCAGCCATGGAGACAGGCAGGCAGGAATACCACAGAACAAGTCCATACTAGACAGTGAACTGGGGGGACCTACTTAGGGGAGCCCACATTCCAGGGCCTGGATCCTGGATCTGTGACCTTGCTAACCCTACCTCTATCCCTTCAGGAGAGCGTGGATGTGCCTTCTGTGGGGGTCTTGGCCATCGGATCACTGACTGTCCCAAACTTGAGGCCATGCAGACCAAACAGGTCAGCAACATCGGCCGCAAGGACTACCTGGCCCACAGCTCTATGGACTTCTGAGCCATCTGTTTTCCTTCCTTCCCTCTAAGAGGCCTCAGCCCCTGGACTTCTGCCACAACCAGCACAAGAAGCCAGCATTCTCAGCCCAGCTGGCCTGGGCTGCTCACTATGCTCCCCAGAATTACTATTTTTGTGCAGACCTCTGCCTCCCTGTCCCAGCTGCCATTAAAGCACAGCCCTGTCAGTCCGCCTTGTCTCTGTGTCTCAACCCATCTGCCCCCTGGTTCCTGGGCAGGCCTCACCCCTGGGCCTCCAACACCCTTCCGAGCCAAGGTATCAGCATCTCCCACTGCTGCTGCCAGCACCCAGCCTGCTGGTACCTAGCTTTGAAAGGAGCCGCCTAGCCAGTGCCCCACTCTGGGGGCTCAGAGCATTCCTTAGTGTTGCTGGGACCCACAGTAGGATGCCAAGGGGGAATGGGTCTCTGGCCTCCTGTCTGGCTGTCATAACCCCTCAGCTTTGCTCTTCCTGATGGTTGTGTGATGCTCGGAGGGCTTCTCCTTGGATGTCTTGGGAGGCTCCTTCCTACTTCGGCTCCTGCTCACTGCCTACATACACAGGCTTCCAGATGGAAACCCTCAGCTTCATTCTCTGAGGAGGTGGCAGATGCCACAGAAATGCCATTCGGGCTACATATCCACTGACCTGCTCTGTTCTCTTATTTGCTGGGTTATAAAGACTTAGACACGCCAGGCAGAGATCTGTCTAGGAAGCCCTCAGTTAAGTGAGACTCAAATGTGAGGAAACCGGCAACCTTCACAAGACGGCTAGCAGCTCTGCCAGCACCTCCACATCTGTGAAAGACGGGCAGAGGCCCAGCACAGCAGTGGCTGTGTGTCGAGTTCCTCTGTGCCAGGACCTTCATGTGTAAGGCCACATGCTTGTCCAACAGGACAGCAGTTACTCCAGTCATGTTTGTCACTTGGTGTGTGGCCTCAGGCAAGTTACTTAATTTTTCTGAGTCTTGATTGCCTCATTGTTGACAATGAGAGTGCAGAGGAGTTGGTTTGGAGACTGTTGGAGTTGTTTGGACCACAGGAGCCACAAAGTCAGGTTCCAGAAGGCTTTAAAAGACATTTCCTGGCTGAATGTGTGACCTTAAAACAGTATTCATTAGCCTCATTACACTTTCTTCCGCAGAGGTGACATTGAATGACACATGAGACTTCCCAGATTCAGATATACCAGCCTCCAACAAGGATAGGCGGGGAAAAAAAAAAAACAGTTGACAGGAAGTGGCCTTAAAAGAGCATGTGACCTCTCAGGGGAGCCCACTGGGGACCTGCCACCCATACTCACGTGGCCAGAGCCATTCAAGGGTGTGGATCTCATGGACTGCTGCCTGGCCTGACGACTGTTGAGAAGGCCACTGTGCTCTCAAGCAGTGTGGATGTTCAGGGACAGCCTCCGGGAGGGAGAGGTACCCACTCCCCAAAGCAGCACTGATAAGGTGTGTACGGGAGGGGCTAGTGTGTGGGGAAAGGCTCAAGGCTCATTGAAGTGGAGACCAGAACAGGCCTGAGTGCTGGGCTGAGAAGCCCAGTTTAGACCCAAAGAAGGAGGGAAGCAGGGTTGGCTTTGGGTTGGTGGACAGAGCCAGGTCATCCCCGGTGGGGCAGGAGCTGCAATGAAGAGGAACAAGTCCACGTCAGAAGTATTTTAGGTAGAAGCAGAGATTAGGTAGACACTCAGGCAGGCCTCTTGGCCAACCAGAACTGGATGGGAGGGCCAGGAGTTTACCAGACTGAGAGGAGGGCCCTTGGGTGAGAGAAAGGGCACTCAGTGCCAGGCCTTAGGATGCACAGCTGCCTGGGATGGGGGAAGGTTCGGAGCTTATGACTCAGGGCAGCCAGCCTGTCATCAGATGCTCATACCCAGCTGACCCAGGTGCCAGCACAAGGGTCACTGCCCTCAGGAGGCCTGAGGCTCCTTCAAAGCAGGTGTAGGCACCCTGGGCCAAGCAGAATCCTCAGGAAGAATGTGTTACCCCTCCCATCCCTTAACTGAAGGTTGGGCTCCCCTCCCCCTGGCCCACAGCTGCCTCTCTGGACAGAGGGAGGGGGAAGTGGCCAGAAGGGGAAGTGTGAGTGTTCCTATCCAGCCTCTCACCAGTCTCCTCAGGTCTTCGCAACAGTGGGCCTCTGGCTGGCCGTGGCCATGGAGCCTGCAGAGACCCCCGTCAAGGATGGCATCCTCTACCAGCAACACATCAAGTTTGGCAAGGTGGGGACCTCTGGCTGTTGGGGCTGAACAGCCTTTGTAAGAAAGGCTGCCTTGTTTAAGAAGGGGAAGGTAAAAGAAGGGAAGGGTCTGAGGTTGAAAATCTCCAAGCAGGTCAGAGCTGAACAGCCTTAATTGGGTTTTAATAGTGGCACTGAGGCCCCTATGAAGGACCCAGGGCTGAGCTGGAGGAGCTGCACTCTGCACACAAGGGAGAAGAGGTGGGGAGGTCACCTCTCTCGCAGCAGGCCCTGCACCCCCATGGCTCAGCTGCAGCTGCTGCCCAGGCAGATCAACGGTCTGTTTCCTTTGCTAGAACCTATTTGCATGTTATCTTCCTTGCCAGAATAAGGCTGTGACCTCCTTCACCCAGCCACGGCCCAACTGTCCTTTTCTTGAGTGGTGAAAGTAGGAACCAATGTAACAGCAGTATCAAGTGACCTTCCCCAGCCATTAGCTACTTTACAGACATAATCCAGTGGAATCCCTACCTTCACTTTCTTATGACCGTTTGAGAGTCAAGGACACTGGTACTATGGAAGTCAGTTAGGAAAGGGGGGAAAAAGGGAAATGGTGGGTGGGATTTGAACCCAGGACTAACTGACACCGACCACAGACTCTAACCTTCTGCCTGGTCCATCCCAGGCAAGGCCTCCTTCCCTGGTATCCTGAGAACTTGGGGGAGGCAAAGGCCCATCTGGGTGGTGAGGAACAGTTGTTAAGTTTATGCCAAGCCAAGTGACAGGAGCATCTGCCACCGAAGGATCTTCTCTCCTATCCTCTTCTCCTGCAGAAGTCCTGGCGGAAGGTATGGGCTCTGCTGTACGCAGGAAGCTCATCAGGTGTGGCACGGTTGGAAAGCTGGGATGTCCGGGATGGAGGCCTGGGGCCAGGAGGTGACAGATCAGTGGGGCCTGGCCGTCGCGGTGAATGGCGGGTCATCCGCCTGGCTGATTGTGTGTCAGTGCTGCCTGCTGATGGTGAGAGTTGCCCCCGGGACACTGGTGCCTTCCTGCTCACCACCACTGAGCGCAGCCACCTGCTGGCTGCACAGCACCGCCAGTCCTGGATGGGCCCCATCTGCCAGCTGGCTTTCCCGGTGAGTGAAGGGTGGGTGGGGCCCAGAGGAACCACCTCGGCCCACACTTGCTCATCTCCTTGCTCACTCACATCCTGTCACTATGTATGCATTGCCACATACCTACACGGCTAGGAAATGGCCCAGAAACCCATAGAGTAAGTCTTAGCTGGCTACGCATGCCACAGTGCAAATGAAATGGGGGAACATTATGCAGAAGCGCCAAAGAAAGACTTTCTGACAGGACAGCAGGCCTGAGTCCTGAATGATATTTAAGAGCCCACAAGCTGGGTATGGTAGTGCATTCCTATAACCCCAGCGCTCTGGGAGGTTAAGGCAGGAAGATCACAAGTTTGAGCCTAATGTGGGCAACTTAGTGATTTAACAAGAAAGACCCTATCTCACAAAAAAAGAAGACTAAAAAGTTTAGCTAGGAATGTAGCTCAGTGCAAAGGACCTGGGTTCAATTCCCAGTATTGGGCAAGGAAGGAGGCTCACCAGGCAAAGGTCTGAGGAAAGTACATCCTAGACAGTAAGGTCTGAGGAGAATTTTGAACAGAAAGAGCAAAGACCCTGCAGCAGGAGAAAGTGAGGTATGCTCAAGAGTTGGAAAGTAGGCTGGCATGGTCAAAGGAAAAGGAGCAAGAGAAGTACAGGAACAGTGAAGTTGGAGAGTTGAGTGAGAGCCAACTGAAACTGCCTTGGGCCACGTGTGAGGTTTGGGATTTTATTCTGAGTCAGAGGAGAAGTCAGAAGGTTTAAACCAGATGCTGATAGTGGTAAAGGCTCGTACTGTCTGTGATAGACCAAAATGAAAGAAGTCTGTTGGTTCCTCAAAAAGTTAATCATGGAGTTACCATATGACCCAGCAATTCACCTGCTTAGTATATATCCAAGAGAATTCAAACAGGTGTTCACGCAAAGCTCATATGTGACTACTTGTGGCGGCAGTATTCACAATCACCAACAGGTAGAAGCAACCCAAATGGCCATCCCCTGATGAATGCCTATCCATCCAACAGAATATTACTTGGGCATCAGAAGGAATGAAGTATTGGTATATGCTACCACATGGATGGACCTTTTTTTTTTCTTTTTTTTTTTTTTTTTTTTTTTTTTTTTTCCAGGTTAGATGGTCAGCAGCAGCCGGCTCCAGGGCTGTGGGGCGGCTGCCTCCCTGCGCAGGAGTTTATACACCCAGACTCCACACCAGTTAGGCCAGTGAACTGTGGCCTATTTCAGCTGCAGCGGCAGTGGGTGGTCTTTTTTTTTTTTTTTTTTTTTTTTTTTTTTTTTTTTTTTTGTACCAGGGATTGAACTCAGGACCTTAAATTTGTGAGGCAGGTGGTGGCACCACTGAGCTAAATCCCCAGCCTGGATGAACCACATGTTTTTGTTTTTGTTTTGTTTTGTTCTCTTGTTGATTTTTTGGGTTTTGTTTTGGTAACAGGAATCAAACTCAGGACTTTGTGCTTGGGAGGCAGGCATGTCACCACTGAACTAAATCCCCAGCCTGTTTTGTTTCTGGGTTTTTTGTTTGTTTGTTTGTTTGTTTGTTTGTTTTTTGGTACTGGGGATCGAACTTGGGTCCTTGTGATTATGAGAGGTAGGCGCTAGAACCACTGAGCTAAATCCCCAGCCCCTGTAGTTATTTTTGACAGTCTTGCTAAATTGAAGTTACCTTAGATGGGCTCAAATTTGCAAATTCTCTTGCCTCAGCCTCCCAGATTATAGATATATACCACCATGTCCAGAATAAACCTTCACTACATTATGTTAAGTAAAAAGCCAGACACAAAGAGCCATATAATGTATGATTCCATTTACAGGGAATGTCCAGAATAGACAAATTTAGAGACAAAAAGAAGATTAGTTGCTAGAGGCTTCAGAGAAGAGGAATGGGGTATGACTCCTAACAAGTACAGGGTTTCCACTTGGGGTGATAAAAAGGTTCTGGTACTAGGTAGTGGTGATGGCTGCCCAACTGGGTAACTAAACTAGAAACTACTAAGTTATATGCTTTAAAAGAGTTGGTTTCCAGCTGGTTATGGTGTTGCACGCCTGTAATCCCAGCACTTAGGAGGCTGAGGCAGGAGGATTGTCGTGAGTTTGAGGTCAACCTGGGCTATGTGGTGAGTTTAGGACCAGTCTGAACTACATAGCAAGACTCTGTCCCCCCAAAAAAATAAAACAACAACACCAAAAAGCTGGGCTTGGTGACTCATGCTCATAATCCCACCTGTTCAGGAGACTGAGGCAGGAGGATCACAAATTCAAGACAACTTAGTGAGACCCTCTCCCAAAATATTAAAAAAAGGTAGAGGGGGGCTATGGTTTAGCTGAGTGGTAGAGTGCTTGCCTAGCATGCATGAAGCCCTGTGTTCATTCCACAAACAAAAAAAGATAGGGCTGGGATTTAGCTCAGTGGTTCCGCCTCCTGCATTGCAAGCACTAGGACCTGAGTTTGATCCCCGGTACCAAAAAAAAAAAAAAAAAGATAAATTTTATGGTTTTGTACATTGTATCACATTTTAAAAGTGTTAATTTTTTAAAAAATGAACAGGATGTAGGAGAAAAGGGAAGGGGCATTTGCACTGGACCCCAGCCGTGCTCCTGTAGGCCAAGGTGGTCACGGTAGAGGTGTGAATCGGAAAGAACCTCACAGTGTGCTTGCTGCACGACCAGATGTGCAGTGAGGGGCAGGGAAGGCCAGGGGAGACTCACAGGTGGTTGTGTGAGAAGGGGAAAGAAGCCTGGGCATTGCTCTCCGGCATTGTTATCCCTAAGGCCCCTGCCCCTTCCTTGTTCCAAACTGTCAGAGGATTGCAGGACTCAGCCTAGTCCCCAGTCAGCTCAGGAGACATCCTCCTCAGTGCCCAGTAGTTTCCAGCTGTTAGACACCTAGCAGCATAGTCCCCTTCCCCAGCCCAGGGAGAGTCCAATGGGAATGGCTGTCCATCATGAAGGTGGGGAAACAGTCTCATGGGGCTTCCTGGGGCCATGCACGTATCAGAGGCAGAACTGGGATTGGCCCAGGTCCCTGAATGCCCTTGCTTGCCATGTAGTCCTGGACTGCTGACCCCATGGGAAGTAGGGGGAGAGGCGCCAGGTAGATACAACTAACCTCTGACTTGAGCCCATTCCCCAGGGCACAGGGGATTGCTCCTCAGGACCAGGGGAAGCTGAGTGTCACAAGAGGGGCCTTGTCCCAATGGAGGAAAACTCCATCTACTCCTCCTGGCAGGAAGGTGAGTCCATGGGAGTACTGGGAACAGCCTCAGCCTAACTACTCCTGGGGCTGACATCTTTGGGAAATGGATGCCTCCTTGCTTGCCTTCAGTGAGCGAGTTTCCTGTGGTGGTGCAGAAGACGGAGGCTGCCACTCGCTGCCAGCTGAAGGGTCCCTACCTCTTGGTGTTGGGCCAGGATGCCATCCAGCTGAGGGAGACTTCCAGCTCCCAGGCCCTTTACAGCTGGCCCTACCACTTCCTGCGGAAGTTTGGCTCAGACAAGGTGAGGTGGGGGTGGCTGCCTCACTCCAGCAGATCCCTGCCGGGAAGGACCGTGGGAGGTTGGTGTCCTGGCTCTTCAGACACTGATCCCCCACCTGTGTCACCTGTGTCCAGGGTGTGTTCTCCTTTGAGGCTGGCCGTCGCTGTGACTCGGGTGAGGGCCTCTTTGCCTTCAGCAGCTCACGTGCCTCAGATATGTGTGGGGCAGTGGCTGCTGCCATTGCCCGCCAACGGGAACAACTGCCTGAGATGGCAGCTCCCCGACCCTGCCCCCTGCCTCGGGCCACTTCCATGCCTTCCCTGGAGCCTCCTGGAGAGCTTTGCGAGGTACCTCTGGGGCCTGAGCTACCCACCTCCAGGAGAGCACATGTGACTGAGCATGGGCCCCAGAGCCTGCCACTCCTGCTGGGCCCCACTCTCGAAGAGCCAGCGTCCCAGCTCTATGCTTCAGTGCGCAAGCGGGCCACTGGGCCCTCAGCCAGCACCGAGCACCTCTACGAAAACTTGTGCATGCTGGAATCCAGCCCAGGGCTGCCCAATGGGGGCTCTAAGCCCCAAGAAGGCCCCTCTGGTAGCCGCAGCCCCTTGGTCAGCCCCATCTCCTACAGCAGCGAGGACCTGAGCTGGCCTGTCCCACCTCACGATGGCAGGCTGGAGGCCCAGTACCGGCGGCTGCTAGAACTAGAGCTGGACGAGGCAGGCAGCAGTAGCCACTCAGGCCCACAGGCGGGCTTCAAGGCCAAGCTCGTGACGCTGCTGAGTCGTGAGCGGAGGAAGGGTCCTGCCCCCTGTGACCGGCCCTGAAGGCCTGTGCAGTGGCAGCAAGAGGACAGAGATGCTCTCCCTACAGTAGGAGGGTCTACATCCGTGAAGACATCCCCTGTTCTCCCTGGCCTGCAGGGACAAAGCAGGCAGCGGGGGAGGATCCACACCCTGCCCTGCCCACCCAGCCATGTACAGTATAACAGATTTGCCAATAATAAAACCTTCCAGCTCTCCTTGAGTTCTGCCTGTGGCCCACAGTCCACAGCCCTCTGCTTAGCTCCTGGCATCTGTGTAACAAATGCCAGTGCTGTGTGCTGGGCTCTAGGAACACAGATGACCGGGGCCTGACTTTGGCCACTGGTGAACTTAAATCCATGTGAGCACACGAGATGCATATAAGGTTTGCTTCATATAGTCCTGGGCAGCAGGAATGACACCAACAGGCTGAGGAAGACAAGCAGTTCGCTGGTGGGAGAGGTGCCCTCTGCACTGAGTCAAGATCAGGCAAGAACCAAACAAGCAGGCAGTGACCACAGGCTGAGGGTGGGTATGTGCAGGCCAGAAGATCATGGTGGCACTGCATGCCCTGCGGTGAGTGGGCATCCTCAGGGGAGAGACATGGTGAGAGTTGGGGAGGAACAATTGGAGGCTGAATCTGAGGGAGCAAAACTGCAGACCAAATGGGGTGTGGTGACACATCTGTAATCCCTGCACTGAGGGAAACTGAGGCAGGAGGATCACAAGTTCATCTCATCTGGGCAATTTAATGAGACTGTCTCAAAACCTAAACATTTAACAAAGGGCTGGGAGCCAGGCGTGGTGGCGCATGCCTGTAATCCCAGAACTCAGGAGGCTGAGGCAGAAGGATCGCTGTGAGTTCAAGACCAGCCTAGGCTACATAGTGAGTTCCAGGTGAGTCTCAACTACACAGTGAGACCCTGTCTCAAAAAAACTAAATAAATAAATAAACAAATAAAGGGCTGGGAGGGCTGGGGATTTAGCTCAGTGGTCCCTCACTTGCCTTGCAAGCACAAGGCCCTGAGTTCAATCCCCGGTGCCCCCCCCCAAAAAAAAATTACTGTGGAGATTCACGTAGTTACAGGATAAAGGGCTGGGAGCCAGGAGTGGTGGGACCTGCCTATAATCCCAGTACTCAGGAGGCTCCTGCAGGAGGATTGCTTAAGAGTTTGAGGCCAACCTTAACCACATAGTAAATTCAAGGCACACCTGAACTACATAGTGAGACCCTGTTTCAACAAAAAACAACCCCCGCAAAACAGACCAGCCTAACTGGTCTCATCTCTCTCACAGATTGATAGATAGATAGATAATGACTAGGGATGTAGCTCAACTGTAGAATCCCCCTGAGTTCAATCTCTAGTACTTTAAAAAAGTCTTTTTTAATGGGATCCCAAACACCCATGCTAGGAGCACGTAATGGTCGTTCAGGGGTGGTGGATGGTGAGGAGCAGGTGGAAGGAATTTCAAAGATGCCATACAAATTACAGACACTTCCAGGAAACTCAGGCCTCGTTTTTCTCAACTGTAAAGGATAAACACCAAGTTACATGGGACTAGGGGTGTAACTCAGTGGTAGAGTATGTGCCTAACATGCACAGACCCTAGGTTTGATGCCTGCACTGAAAAAAAAATCAAATTATATATTAGGTCTATTTCTCCTTTAGAGTTTTCTTGGTCCTATTCCATGCCAGGCACTCTGGGACACAGCTATATGCAAGACATCCTCAGTTGTGTCTCCAGGAGACCTTTCATGGGGAGATAAGCAAGCTTCTTGAAGACTTTATTGCCTGCTTTTACTTTTCTGCTTCACCGGCCACCATCCTTGGGGGCAGCCAGGTGAACAATGGGATAGAGTCTCCAAGGATCTAGCCTCTTGGTCATTTGACCCCAATCTTATCTCGGCTGTCACACCCTTAGCCTATCCTGAATCATGTCTTCACAACAGTGACGCACAGATCTTATTTCCACGTAACCTCCCCTGGCCACTTCCTCTCCTCCCAGCTTACTTCCTCCAGGATAGCCAATACTTCCTCTCTGGCCACATCGACCTACAGTGACATCTTTCTCACTGTCTGTGAGCCCCTGTCTACCTTTCATCCTTGTTACATTTTGGTTCCATGCTCCATTCACAGAATGCTCTTCAATCTCCTGTCTCCTTTTATTTTATTTGACTGGCAAAGCCCACAGCCCCAGGTGAACCCAGATCTTTCCATGCCTGCCAACACCCAGAGAATTTCACACCAGGAAGCTGGCTTGTCCTCTCACACAATGTCATCGAAAACTGGACAGCAAGGCTTCCCACACTGCCCACAGAGCCCGGCCCACAGTACAGCTTTTCTTTCCCAAGACCTTCAAATCCTCTCCTCTCTATCACCTAGTAGATGAAGTAGGACAAACATGAGTCAACAGAAACGAAATTTTCCCACCTTTAATCTGCCACCACTACCTACAAAAGTTCCAGCATGTGCACTCATCTTGTGAAAGAAGTGCCTGTCCCCAACATGTACTCTGACCCCAGCTCTTCTCATCTCCTCAAAGCTCGGCCAACCTAGATGTCCCCTTCCTCTTCTGGACCCATTCATGCTGTCACAAAACATGCTGTATAATTTCACATGTTAAAAGAAATCTCTGCTGGGCAGCTGGGCATGGTGATGCATGCATTCTTTCTTTCTTTCTGTTTGTTTGTTTTGTTTTTTGAGACAGGGTCTCACTATATAGTTGCTAGAACTCACTATGTAGCCCAGGCTGGTCTTGAACTCACAGCAATCCTCCTGCCTCAGCCTCCCAAGTGCTAGGATTACAGGCGTGCGCCACGACGCCCCGCACTGTGCATGCTTTCATTTCATTCTGTTCTGATTCACAATGAAACTTCTCAAGAGTTGTTGATTACGCTCATTTCTACTTTTTCACCTCCCATTTTCCCTTTAACTTACTCTAGTCCTCACCTGGTTCCCACCATTCCATTACATGGTTCTTACCACCACCTAACTTGCTTCTCCAAGTAAAATCACCCTCAACTTCCTGGGCTTCTCAGCAGCATTCCATACTCCTTGGGGCACCTGCTTTTCATTGGATTCTTCTCCTATCTTCCTGTCACACAGCTTCTCCTTCCCACCCTCTTTTTATTTTTTTTAAGTCATGGGGATTGAACCCAGGGCACATTCTAGGCAAATGCTGTACCAGTGAGATACTGCCTACCCCCAGCTTCTTGCTGTCTTCTCTGTTAGCATTCTTCTCCTTACTCTAGCCTTAGATACAATGTAGCTCAAGTCTGGCTACAAGTAAAACTACCTGGAAGCCTCAAAAATTGCCCATGTCTAGGCCCACACTCAGGGGCTCTAATTTTATGTCTGGCTGCATAGGGCTAGGGCACCAGTGTTTACTTTTTCACTTTCTGGGTGATTCTAGTATGCACACCATATCAAGCTGAGAACTACTGCAAGCCAATCATATATCTAGATTTCATAGGTCCTCGGAACACTAATAACTCCCAAAGGTATATCTACAGTGCAGACCTCTTGCCTGAGCTTCAGATTTAAGAATCCAGCTGAAGAGCTGGGTGTGGTACTGGCACATGCCTGTAATCTCAGCACTTGGAAGGCTGAGGCAGGAAGATCGCCACAACTTAGAGACCAGGCTGGGCAGCACAGGATGTTCAAAGCTAACTTGAATTATATAGTGAGATCCCATCTAAAAAAAAAAAAAAAAAAAAAATCGGTATTTTTAAAAGGCATCTCCAAGTCTGGGCCTTTAGCTCAATGGTAGAGCACTTTCCCAGCATTCATGAGGCTCTGGGTTCAGTCTTCAATATTACAAAAAATAAAAGGCATTTTAAAATTTAATGTGTAATGATTGCATAGGAACTATCACAAAGAATCAACAACTGGGACCGCATAGTATTAAAAAGCTTTTGCACAAGAGAAACCACTAACAGAGTGAAGAGACAACCCACTGTGTGGGAAAAAATTTTTACCAGCTGTTCCTCAGACAAAGGACTACTACCTAGAATAAAGTACTCCAAAAAATCAGATCCCTCAATTTTTTTTTTTTTTTTTTGAGACAGGATCGCACTGTGTAGTACAGACTGCCCTGGAACTCACTGTGTAGCCCAGGCTGGTCTCGAACTCAGCGATCCTCCCGCCTCAGCCTCCTGAGTGCTGGGATTAAAGGAGTGCACACCACACCTGGTTCAGATTCCCCAAATTTAAAGACCCAATCCAAAAATGAGTATGTGAAATGAATAAAAATTTCTCAGACGAAGAAATAAAAACAGCCAATAAATATATTTTAAAATGTTCAACATCACTGGTCATTCAAGAAATGCAAATTTAAAAAAAAAACTGAGATTCCATCTCACTCCAGAAAGAATGGCTGCTATCAAGAAATCAATCAACAACAAATGTGGAAGGGGCTGTGGGGAAAAAGGAACCCTTCTCCCCTGTTGGTGGGAGTGTAGACTGGTACAACTACTGTGGAAATCAGCGTGGAGATTCCTCAAAAAATTAAAACTAGAGCCTCCATTCGACCCAGCTATTCCCCTTTTTGGTATCTTCCTGAAAGAATTAAAAGCATCACATCACAATGATATATGCACACCCATGCTTATAGTGGTACGATTTGTAATAGCTAAATCTTGGAAACAGCCCAAATGCCAATCAACCAACAAATGAATAAAGAAAATGTGAGAATTTTTATACAATGGAGTACTATTCTGCCATAAAGAAGGATGAGCTTGAGACATTTCTAGCTAAATGGATGCACCTTGAGAGCATACCCTTAAGTGACATAAATCAGACATGCATGTTTAAATACCACATTGTTTCTTTGGTATGAGAAACTGAAGTGGAAGTAAGGACTGAGATGTATGACAGATATTGGGAAATGGGAAGAAAATGTTCAAATGGGAAGGGGAACAAGGGAGGGAGAAGGAGAAAGGAGGAAGGCACGAGAAAAAGAAGTAAGAATCGAAGGAAGGCCAGGCGTGGTGGCGCACGCCTGTACTCCCAGCACTTGGGAGGCTGAGGCAGGAGGATCACTGTGAGTTCGAGACCAGCCTGGGCTACATAGTGAGTTCCAGGTCAGTCTCAACTACATAGTGAGACCCTGTCTTAAACCCCCCCCAAAAAAGAATGGAAGGAAGAAATGGAAACAAAGCTTTTACATATAGGGAGGAGAGGGAAGATTGGGGGGAATGGGAAAAAAGAGGCAGGATGTATCACGTACAGGTGCAAATTCCCTTTGATGAATGTTATCATTATGTATGTCTAACATGTACCAATAAATGTTTTGTTATTTAAAACAAAGCATAAATTCAATGGTAAAAGGTGGTTGAAGGTGGTGGGTTCCATGCAGTGCTGGGTATATGTCGCCACATGAACAAAGCCCATGAGGATGCTGGAGCCCTGGGGAGGCAGATTTTAGCATTACTCATGAAATCACATCCAGACAGGTAACACATTCCCATGATTGATCAGGCAGCCATGGAGTAAGCTCAGGCCAAGAGGCTCCCAGACAGGGTGGTAACTGCAGGAAGGACCCCTCCTTTCCACACTGGCAAATCCAAGCCTAGGCCTTGGTTTTGTTTGGTTTGGTTTGGAGTGGGGAGGGATGTTGTTTTGAGACAATCTTGCTATATATTTCAGGCTGGCCTTGAACTCATGATGCAGCCCAGGCTGGTCTCAAACTCGTGGCAATCCTCCTGCCTCAGCCCTCATAGTGCCTGGTTTGCAGACTTGCACCTCTACACCCAGGATTTGAAGGTTCAATGAGTTCCATGATACACTGGCGATCACCCACAGAGTCAGGGTCATGACTAGAACTAAGACCCAGTCTGGCATCTTCTCCTTCACCACCAATCTAAGATTTTTTGTTCCATAGTGATTTCGGTAATGCTCCAGAGTGTAGGAGAGAAGAGTCCTTGGAATCTCCAGGACTCTATAATCCTCCCTCACCCTGGAGCTAAAGGAGTCCTGACCACCAGGGGGCACTGTGGCCTAGATCAAGTCCTGTTGCACTCTCAATGGCTGCCTGTGCCAGGAAGATCCCTGGCTCCACTCAGGCCTCAGGCCTGAGCCTTGCAGTGGCTCAAGAAACAGACCTCAGGGTCCTCTCTGCTATAAGACTGCCAAGACACACCCCCAGGTGCAACATCTTCTTTTGTTTATTTGCTGTTTCACTTTTGTAATCCATCCTTCCTTCCTTCTTTCATTTGTTCATCTATATCCAGGGCCAGGGATTTAGCTCAGTGGTTCTGCTATCTGCCTTGCAAGCACAAGGACCCGAGTTTGATCCCCGATACTGAAAAAACAGAACAATCATCCACATCCACTATGTGCAGGCACTTAGGAACCACTAATAGACTAGTGAGACAAGCTTCTGAGCTCATAGAACTAGTATCTTTTTTATCCCCCATACAGTATTGGTGATTGAATCCAGGGCCTTCTCACTGAATTATATCCCTGGCCTTTTTAATTTTTTTTTTTTTTTGAGACAGGGTCCCACTACATCAGTAAGTTGCCCAAGCTGGGTTTGAATTTGTGGCCCTCCTGCCTCAGCTCCTAAGTAGCTGGGATTACAAGCATGTGTCATTGTGCCTGGCTGGTTCCTTGGTTTTGTGTAGCTCTTAAGGATTTTAACTTTAAATGCAGTTCTAAAAGCTAAAGTGTGATTTTATTTATCCTGAGGTGTAATTTCTGTATTTATTTTATTTATTTATGTATTTATTTAGTTTTGGTACCAGAGATCAAACTCGGGCCCATGCGCTTGGGAGGCAGGGGTCAGAACCACTGGGCTAAATCCCTGGCCCCGTAATTTCTGTTTTTAAAACATCAGTTTAGCTGCTGCATGGAGAAGACTGAAGGGGACAAAGGGGATAGTAGGAAACCTGGTAGGAGACTATTAGAGATGTACAGGCACAAAAGGACAGTGGTTGAGACAATGCTGGCAGCAATGATTAAATGTGAAAACATTTTGAAGATAAAATGTGCAGCATCTGGGAAATAATAGAAATGAAACCAGTAGGATAACTTCATAGTTTCTGCTGAGCTAGTTGAATGGTTGCTGGTGCCACTGACTGAGCTGAAGGAGTTAAGGAAAATCACAAGGTTGAATTGGGACATATGATTCTAGATATCTAGCAGACATCTAGATGGACTATTTTTTCCCATTAAGTTTATTGGTACATTTAAGGTATACAATACAGTTATAGACAGACTATTAAACGCTGGACTCTAGAGTTTTGGGGCAAGATCAAGGCTGTCCATATCACTTGAGAGTCCTGGCATTAAGTGTTACTGGAAACCACAGGAGAGCATGAGGCTCAGGGAGTGAGTACAGAGATCAAGAGGCAGATGGGGGGACTGCCTAGGGTGTCGGAGAGTCCAACAAAGCAGAAGGAGTAAAGGGTGATTCCAAAAGAGAACCAGCATGACCCCTAGGCATGTAGGATGAAAGCTGAGGGCCACCACTGATTTGATGGAGACTTTGAGAAGAGAGTGCTCAGAGCAATGGTGTGGATAAGAGGTTGACTAGAGAGAACAAGAGAACAGGAGGAAGGCAAGTGGAAACAAGAAGAAAGACAATTAGAGAGGAAGTCTTCAAAGATGACAATTACAGGGATTTGGATAGTGAGGAAAATGATGCGGGGGGGGGTATGTGATGACGGTGGATAGAGGAGAAGAGCAACGACCATGAGGGGACAGGGCCACTAAGCTAGAGTGAAGGACTCCTCGTCACTTACCCAAACATGGGACAAACACTCCCACCCCCAACCCCCCTCCACCTACCATAGCTGCCCAGGCTGAGGCTGGGGGAAAAGAGGATTCGGAGGGCGACGCCCACTACAGTCCTTCTTCCCGATCCTGGAGTGGGGTATAAAGGGACAGTCCATCCCAACCGTGTGTGCTATGCGTCGGTCTGGGGTCGCAGGGATGCTGGGACTTCACACGTGCTAAGTATGTGTTCTGCCACTGAGATACAAGGCCAGCCCCTGCAAACCTAACCTGAAACTCATCAGTCCCCTTCAACTTGCCCCACCCCGACTTGCCTTGAATTTAGAAATTCTAGAGTCTCGGACGGCTGCGCCTGACATTCCGACTCTTACAGCGACCCTGAGTAAAGGATATTACCGTATTTTCCCATTTTTCCGAAGAGAAAACTAAGGAAAGAGACAAATCCGAGCCTAGCTGGTTTCAAAACGCCACTTTCCTTCCACTACGCCAGCGGGAGGCGAAAGGGGCTGCGAAAGCCAAGAGCAGGAAGCTAGCCTGGCAAGCCGCTTCTCCCCACCGCGGTGTCCGAGAGCCTGGGTCCTCACCCGGCCCCGCCCGGCCCCTCATCTACCCCTCTCTTCTTGGGCGGGACAAGGGCTTGCAGTGCCTTCCAGCTCAGAGTGACGGGGCTCCGTGATTGGGTGAAATGGAAGAATTGGGTGTGGCTTCCCGCCGGCAATCCGGCCACCAGTGGGCGTGACCACGACGAGGGCGTGGTCCGAAACCCCACCCACTCCCGCGTACTCAAAGCAGACGGGCGTCCGCGGAGGCGGGGCCAGAGCACGGGCGGCGGATCTCAGCGCGGCTCCTTGGA